CCGGTTCTACCCAGGGTTGCCAATGTAGAAGAGCTTTGCGGCCCCCTGGTGATCAGACTATCCACTGTTTGATCAATTCAAATTCTTCTTGATGCCAAAGGGCCGCCGACTTGCCTGCTTGAGCCCCGACGAGCTAGAGCACATCCCGATATCACCAACAGGTTCTCCATTTGGCCAGGTCATTGACAATTTGCCAATTCACAAGCTGGATGGGAAGAGAGGATTTCGAGTTCAGTGGAATTATGCTCGCGTTTTTAACTTCCTTCCTTCTTGTTTCTATCCTGATAGAGGAAAGGGCTCCATCATTGTAGAAATAATAGCAAAAGTCCCCCTGTTGCCTTAGGCTTATCGGCTTCAAATCTGTCGATTGAGGGTAGTTAATTATCCCGGTTCTTCCCTGCACATGCCTCGAAAGGACATAATCTCTCCTAATTCCATTTTATCCGTTTGCAAGGCAAAATGGATCCAGGGATACGTGCACCACTGGGAAGGAAAGGAAGCATTTGTTCGCATCAACTCATTTGGTATATATGGTCCCATGACCAGTGGAACCGCACTGCCGCGGAGGGCTGATGGGTCATAACACCCTACAGATGACTCGCAAATCCAGAATCACTACGTGAAATTCGCTGGAACAAAAAGAAACAATTAAGTTAGTACCAGGAATTCGCATTGTACTGAAATCCAGAAGTGGGGCCCCAGTCAGTTGCCAATAACATTCGATGCCAAGAGATGCAACGGACTTGAAAATGAATGGAGACCGCGCCTTCCCTCACCGAAGCAATCTTATCCATGCACAAGATCTCCAGCCTTACAGCATCCAGATCCGACGTGATGCTAAGTAAGCACGCAAGTACGTGACGTTTGGCTAGGGGATGAATTCCAAACGATGACACAACGGCTGTGGCCTTCCAACTTCCTTCAGACTATACCCAATCGTCTCATCGGCCATCTCGATATCTAAAACTCTCACTGAAGGTCATTATAGTTTCAGACAACATAATTGAACCAGCGCTAGAGCCTTCGTCACCCACTTACTGCAACCACAGTGTCAGGCAATGGGAACCACCCTGCACATTATCTATATTCTATGTCATGGGAGTTGTCTAAAACGCGGAATTCACCGAGGACTACTGGTGGCTTGTCGCTGTGTTTTATCTCCTAATATGCAGCATTCTTATTGTACTGATTAAGGCTTTTGAAAAACACAGGCAGAGCATGACGTGTTTTCCTGTAACAAAAGAATTTTCCCTATTGTTATGCGAAACAGTAGGTAAGTTTATGCATACTTGGGACTGCTATGTTCATTTGTTTGCAAACCTTCTCTCTCCCTTTCTCTCCTGCCCTCTTCATTCTTGTAGATAGCTTAGAGTCCGACGTTTGCAATGCAGGTTTTATAACCTTGGTTGTGCCTACGTCTACACTGGTTATATCCCCCAGCTATGTGTTAGGAAAGGAAGGCAGATAAGGAAAGCAGATAATAGGTTACTGTCACTAGTACTGCTTGTACATAAGCCTTGTATTCTGTATGTCCGGCAGCTTGTCATATGTCCATCAGCGGCGTGTGTTCTGTCGTCGGTCTCGGCAAACAAAGTCCCGTGTCTCCAACAGCAGAGTATCGTGTCCCCGCAGTGGGGTGCCCTTCTGTTCGCAGCCTCGCTGTTTAAGGGCCAGCCGTCTTTGTTCCGTCTTGGTCCCTCTGTTAGTGGCCCATGCAAGCTGCCATCGCGAGGCGACCTCAGTGTGACAGGTCGGTAGTGTGTCATGCGTGCGCATGACT